GTGTGGGTTTCCTCCGGGTGCTCCGGTTTCCTCCCACAGTCCAAAGACGTGCAGGTTAGGGTGGATTGGTTAGTGTGGACTCAACGGGCTGAATGGCCTCTTTTTGCACCGTAGGGCTCCAATTGTAAGCAGCAAGATTTCAGATGACCCCAAGTTTTGTGGGGCAGTCATGTTTAATTGCAACAAACTGGCCCACTTTTTAATTCCTAAATCCTGGTCTCCCTCCCTCTTACAAATCTTTCCCTAAAGGCTGTTTGCAGTCCGTTGTTCTCAGTGTGAAGCTGCTCCTGTGAATGTTTTTGTTAACTGTTACACAGGTAACCTATCCTCAAAGGCCACACATCTCAGGTAGTTCGCTTACCCGGAAAGGAGTCATGATTTGTCTCGAATAAAACGAAGGCACAGGAAACCTAGAAATATTAGGCCATTTGGCTCTTTGAGCCTGTTCCACCTTTCAATATGATAATCGCTGACCATCTCAGCACACTGTTCCCACACCCTTTCAACCCTTTAGGCCAAAGAACTGTATCTAACTCCTTCTTGAAAATATTCAATGTTTTGGCCTCAACCGCTTTGTGGCAGGGAATTCCACAGGCTCCCCACTCTCTGGGTAAAGGCATTTCTCCTCATCTCAGTCCTAAATGGCCTATCCCATGTCCTTGAGCAGTAACCCCCACCTCATTCTGGGTTCCTTGATTATCAGGAGCATCCTTCCTGCACCCACCTTGTCTTGCCTTGTAAGAATTTTATAGGTTTTGATTAAATTCCGCCCCTCTTTCTTCTAAACTCCAGTGAATATAGTCCTTACCGATCCTGTCTCTCTTCATACATGTCAGCCCTGCTATCCCAGGAATCAGTCTGGTAAATCTTCGCTGCACTTCCTCCATCACCAGAACATCCTTTCTCACATAAAAGGAGGCCAAAACTGAATGCAAGGCTATTCATCCCCATCAACCTGTTCCAACCATATTCCAAACTCCACAAGACCATAAGAAATAGAAACAGGAGCAGGCCGTTCGGCCCCTCAGGCCAGCTCCACCATTCAATGGGATCATGGCTGATCCAACATTCCTCACGTCCACTTTCCTACCTTTCCCCATATCCCTGGATTCCCTGATTATCAAGGATGTATAGAACAGCACAGCACAGAAACGGGCCCTTCGGCCCACAACGTTGTGCTAACATGACACCAAATTAAATTAATCCCTTCTGCCTCGGTCCATACCCCTCCATATCCACGTGCCTATCTAAACGCCCCTAGTGTATCTGCCTCCACCACCACCCCTGGCAGTGCATTCCACACTCCTACCATCTCCTTCGAACTTTACCCCTCTCACCTATCTCAACCTTAAATTCACACAAGGACTTTGTCCCCACAGCTCTCTGTGGCAACGCATTTCAAAGAGTGAAGAAATTCCTCCTCACCTCAGTCCTAAATCGGTGCCCCTTAATTCTGAGACTGTGCCCAGATCCCTGGGCTAACGGGCTGGGACCATGAGTTCAAATCTTGCTGTGGTAGGTGGTGAAATTCTGCCACATCTGGAATGTAAAAAGCTGGTCTCATGGTGGCCACATAATCATTGTCAGTTGTTGTGAAAGCCCAGCTGGTTCACTGTTGTCCTTTAGGGAAGGAAGGGGCCGTCCCTACCTGATTTGACCTGTACCTGACTCCAGACCCACAGCAATGACTCTTAACTGCCCTCCGAAATAGGCTGCAATGTCACTTAAGTTCTCGGACAGTGGAGGCTAACCAGCAGCACCAATGTCCCATAGGAGAATGAGACAGAGAATGATAAGGCTGCAGGTTATTGTCTTGGCTGAATGATGGTACCTCTGACAGTGCTGCACTCCTTCGATACTGCCACTGTGGGTCAGTATAGATCCTGCTCAGTAGCAGTTCTCACTGCAGTCAAAGACCCAGCCAAGGCTTATGCACTGACGATGCCTTTTCGCAACGTGCTCTCTCCTGCCCTGATGCAAATGTCTAGCCAAAACAAAAACAAAAACTGTGCAAAATTCACAAAAATGCACACACATCGCGATTGAGGCACACCATCTTTAAACAAATTTGCTTGCGGTTTGAAGATCCTGGTGAAGTTCTGGAAGTAAAATCAATCACTTCACCCTGACTTGGGAGGACTGGGACAAACGATTCTCAAGAGCCACCCCGGCGGGATCCCTTTAAAGAGAGTCTGACCGATACCCCCAGCATCTCCACCCCGGTTACTTCATCCTGGAGATTTGTGTGACCCAGTGTCTAACACGCTCACTCATTAGCAGTGAATACTATGACTCATCAATTACGCAAACTCAAAGTTCCCAGAATTGACCCAAATTCATTCCAACCGACAAAAGGAAAGAAAAAAGGCGTGAATTCTGCATTTACAGCACTGAGCCATGGGGAGAGACAGGATCAGTTAGGATTATATTTCCTGTAGTTTACAGGAATGAGGGGGGTGGAGGTGATCTCAGAAACCTATAAAATTAGGAAAATGGGAACAGGAGCAGGCCATTCAGCCCACTTAAGCCTGTTCCACCATTCAATAAGATCATGGCTGGCCTGTGACCTAACTCCATATAAACTACCTTTGGCCCATGTCCCTTAACTAAGCTGCTTAACAAAAAAAATTATCCATCTCAGAATTAAAATTAACAATTCATCTAGCATCCACTATCGTTTGTGGAAGAGAATTCCAAACCTCTCCCACTTATTATGTGTAGAAGTACTTCCTAAACCCCTCCCCTGAGCGGTACGGCCCTAATTCTCAGGCTGTGCTTCTTAGTTCTAGAATCCCCAACAAGTGGAAATAGTTCATCTTTATCTACCTTGTCTTTTCCTGTTAATATCTTGAAGACTTCAATCAAATCACTCCTTAACCTTCTAAATTTTAGAGAGAATGGGCCTAACTTGTACAATCTCTCCTCAAGACCTAATCCCTGAAGTCCAGGTATCATTTTTGTAAACCTACTTGGTACTCCCTCCAAGGCCAATATATCCCTCCTAAGGTGTGGTGCCCAGATCTGCTCTCAGTGCAAACAGGGCTAGACAGGGGTAAATAATTCCCAATGTCCAGAACCAGGGTTCACAGCCTAAGGATACAGGGTAGGCCATTTAGGACTGAGATTAGGAGAAATGTCTTCACCCAGAGAGTGGTAAGCCTGGTGGAATTCTCTGCCACAGAAAGTGGTTGAGGCCAAAACACTGAAAGTTTTCAAGAAAGAGATAGATCTAGTTCTTAGGGTCAAAAGGGAAGGGGAGAAAGTAGGAAGACGGGACTGAGTTGGATGATCAACCATGATCATATTGAATGATGCGGCAGGCTCCAAGGGTCTATTCTGCTCCTATTTTCTCTGAATTGATAGCTCAGATATTATGGAGAAAAACAAACTCAATGAGATTGCTAGACAACAAGGTGCAGGGCTGGATGAACACAGCAGGCCAAGCAGCATCATAGGAGCAGAGAGGCTGACGTTTCGGGCCTAGACCCTTCATCAGAAAAGGGGGAGGGGAAGGGGGTTTTGAAATAAATAGGGAGAGAGTGGGAGGCGGATAGAAGAGGGATAGAGGAGAGGATAGGTGGAGAGGAAACAAACAGGTCGAAGAGGCGGGGATGGGGCCAGGAAAGGTGAGTGTAGGTAGGGAGTTAGGAAGGGGATAGGTCAGTCCAGGGAGGACGGACAGGTCAAGGGGGCGGGATG